ATTGCTTTTAAATACAGTTTAAAAAGGTTTAAATGATTAGTTCAAACATATATTGTCTTTTTTTATTTTGATTTTCATTTTCAAATTATAAATGTAAAAAATGTAAAAAAAATCAAAAGTTAAATAAGTTTTAATTTTTAACAAAACATTTTTGAAGATTTCCATGATCCTCTTGTAACTTTTCAAATAGCTAAAACAACTTTTTAATTGACAACTTTCAATAAAAACACTATACATTATATTTAGGGTTGACAAATGACCAGCTTTTACTAAGGAAAACACAGTAAAAAAATTTATTTTTACAGGTTTGGCGCTGTATTCTTCTCTGTAAAAGCCATATCTGGTTTTTACGAAGAAGAATACAGCGCCTAACCTGTGGCTACCTTAATTATATGGAATGTTTTTGAATATTTAAGTTTTCAAATACTTAAGTATTTTAAAACTAAAAACCTTAAAATACTGAATCAAAGTTTTTGAACTTTTTTTTACATATATATTCTTATTTTAGTTCATCTATTTTTATTATATTATATTATAATTTTTATCAATAAACAAATTAAAAAGTTAAAAAACTTATTTAAATCGATAGCTTTGAAATTAGAAAGTTTTCGTAAGCTCAATAACTTTTGATTGAGAAACTTGGTTGGTTCGCTGATTTCCGTCAAATTAAAATACTTTAGTTAATTCAATTAAAATAAGTAACTAAGACAATTAAGAAGCAGAGTGATCTTCTTTTACCACACAAGGGCAGCAACTAAATTTAATCGGCAAATTTAAATATCCAGTATACTTGGTATTTAAAGAAAAAATACTTTTAAATACAAGTATGGATTTTTTTTTTTTCAATTTACAAATACAAAATTTACATAAATTTTGTATTTGTAAATTTTTGTATTTTAAATAATAGTTTTTAATTATCTTTAATGTTTTACGCAAATATAGCATAAATAATACACTTCATTCCAAGTTATATTTTTGATTTTTTTTGTTATTTTCGGTTTATTTTACCAGGTAATTTATTTTACTGAAAGTAATAATAATTCTAATAAAAGTAATAATAAAAAAACATTGTTAACTTATTTTAAAGTATTATATTTATTATTATGCAAAGAACTTTGTAACATTCTTAACTTAAGATAAATAGTAAAAATGTAAATAAAGAATTTTTGAATAATAAAAATAAATTAGAATAAATAGAAAAAATAATTTATAAAACATTGGAAGTTCTTAACAAGAGAATAACTGAGGTCAATTAAATATTAAAAAAAAAAAGATTTTTTAAACTTTTGAATGAATGATCTTGCTTGTTAATGACAACGCTTTTTTACACTTTTAAAAAAAACATTAACATTATTCATTTCTTTGTCGTGTGTACCAATTGTGTCTAGCGCGACTGGTACGCATGGTAAAACGCTTCGTGGTAACTTGTATTAATATAAACCTTAAAACTAAACTCTTGCCTTATTATTATAAAACATAATTGTTACAAATTAACTGTTACAGTTTAACTAAACAAGTATTATTAATCGCCAACAACTAGGATTGTCTCAAGCATTCCGCTTGAATGGTTTGTTAGCAACCTTCGTAACAGAATTTTCAAGGTGAAAATGTAATTATGATTTTAATCATTATCTTATCGTTGCGTAGATTTTCTGATGACAATGTGTTAATGTTCTTGTAAAATCTGAAGTATAATATTTAAAAAAATACAAAACTTTAACAAATGCAAGAAAATATTAAAATTTTTTTTTTCATGATACTCTAATGGGATTCCAAACCTTCGAGAATGATAAAAAAATGTTTAGGCTAAACTTTTTTGGTTAAAACAAAAGAATAAATGCATACCAATAAAAACTAACTTTTTTTAGTCAAAGCTGGCCTTCTCCATTTTGTTGCAGGCCAAAAATTCAGCATAATATACACCGCAATCTATAGACTTGATAATTTATTCAAGTGCGTTTAATTCTTAAGAGTTTCAGTACATGACATTGATTTTTTTGTTTGTGTAAAAGATCAATTATGTAAACAAACAAAAAAAATCAACGATGTCATGTACTAAAACTCCTAGGAATAAAATGCGCTTGAATAAATTATCAAGTCTGTAGATTGCAGCGTATATTATGCTGACTTTTGGCCTTCAACAAAACAGACTGAAAAAAAAGTTAGTTTTTCTTGGTACGGATTTATTCTTTTGTTTTAATCAAATGCATGTTCTACTTGGCAAGATTTCAATATTTAAATTTTGCAAAATGCATGGTAGTGATTTGCAGCCTTAGAGTTGACAGTGTGTTGGTCCCCCCTTAGTTTTGTGAATTAACTATACAGAAAAACAAAAGAAAATAATAGCCATATAAGAAAATAATAAAAAGAAAAAATAAACAAATTTTAATTATTTTTAAGATTATTTAATAAATTTAAAAAATTTTAATCATTTGTTATTAATTTTAATCATTTGTTATTAATAATTTTATCATTAATAATCTTGATAAATTATTCTGGAAAGAAAAACTTTAATACAATAATCCCATTAATAAACTTTAATAAACAATAAATCCATTCAGTTGTTGCAAAATTTGAACAAGTTTACTACAAAGAAATGACTGATATAAATAAGTAAAAATAAAGCGTTCAGCTTTAAATTTCAGAATTTAAAGCTGACCGCTTTTGTAAAAAAATTAAAAAGTGTTTGATGTTATTACCCAGAAAATGCTTTGGTGGGACTAAATTACTTCTATTAGTAGTCACTTGGATCTAAATCCCAAAATCTGGTTCTCGTCCTTGGCAGAAAATCCATTTTTAAACTTTGCATAAAAGTGAGTTAAAAAACCTGAAATAATAAATATAGTGTTGTAAAACTTTTAATTTTTATCACTTTATTTTAAGCCAATACAATTATTACAAGAGAGTTTTAAATGAATGTCTGTTATATAATTGAAATAAAAAATGTTTTAAACAAAAATCCAATATCAAATTTTGCATAAAATCCTACTAAAGAAGTAATAAGTAAATAAGTATTTAAAAGAGTTTCAACATTTTTTAGTTGTCTCAGCATGAGTAATGCATAGGCAGTAAGTTCAAAAGTAAATAACAATTTTTTTAAATTCTGACATAAGTATAATTTTTGATTTATATTCTTTTTATGAACTATATAATCTAGTAAAATGGTTTAAATATATTTAATCAATTTTTTTGCTGTTAGTAATAATAATAATATAATGTTAATAATACAATAGCTTTATGAGAATAAATTCTCATAAAGCTGTTGTAGCGTTAGATGAATTGTTGAATGTTGTGGATAAACTTTTAAAGTGATTGTGGTATCCTGTAAATAGGAGACCCTGAACTGTTCAATGTTATAAACATAGCAAAATATTTATCATTAAATGCATTTCTAAAGCTTTGACAACATCGTTTACTTTCTTAATTTGTTAAAAAAGGAATAGCTGAATAGAACAAATGCTGCTAGGCTAGTTTCTCTAAGACATCCACGTTCTTCAAAAGCTTCCTGCACTTATTTCCAGCCAGGTCAAATCATGGAATAGTTGCTGCTGATTGTGAATTATAGCTTGCCATTCAAGAGAATGTGTTCTAATCTTGGATAGATATTGTAAAAGATGATTAACAACTCCAAGTAACAGATGGAGTTTCATTGGTGAAAGTACATTAAGAACAAAAGACTCATCTGAAGCATTGATGATAGGTGCATAGACTGAATTTATATCCGTCACACTAGATGCCTAAAAATCACTCCTGATTGATCCAAAAGTTCTTAAAGATCTCAGCAAGATTTTTGCAATGTCATGTATGCAATGCAATGAGCATGGGTGTGCTCAAGAATGTGTTTATAGACCACAAATAATATTAGCCAGCTTTTTATCACATAACAGAATAAAGGGAAGGTCATTGAGGCTCAACAGATCCAAAACTTGCTTGATAGGCTTTAGTTGATCTTTGTGATCTTTAGTAATGGCAATTAGTAACTGACATTTTACACCAGAATTTTGTGTCAGTGAGTCTTTATAAAGTCATTTTGAAGGAGATTCTAAATTTAAATCTTTTTTCATGATTCCAAAAGTTATTTTTAGGAAACATTCATCACTATTAATTCCTAGTTTTAGAATGTAGTTATCAGAAAGGCTTTTGTTTTCTAGTACTACAAAGCAATTGTAACTCTTTGCAGCGAACAAAAGTTTTATGTATAGAATTTGTCCCTTTGTCAGTTGCAACTTTGTCCAAGTTTATTTTTTAATGGTTTTTAATCTGTTTTCTTAATTGTTTTAACTAGGAGTGGAAGTTTTTCTCAAAAATCTGGATTATAACAACTTGAAAAAGAAATGATATAAGTTTTTTCGCACCAGAATTTTACAGCCCTGTGTTGTGTTGCACATAAACAAGATCTTTAGTTGTTAATTTCCTTGTTAATTTAGTTGTTAATGTCTTTCATTAAAATGTATTTGGGTGAAGAAACTTAAAAATATTTCTGAAAATCATATAATTTTATGAAAAGCATTAACTTTAAAAAGTTAAACTAAAAATTAAAATGCCTTATTAAAATGTTACCTGGAAAAAAAAAAGGGTTACTTCCTAATCCCTTAGGCCTACTTAAAAGAACTGTACCATGAGGTGGCGCTTTCTTTTTTGCTATGAATGATGGTGCAACTCTCTTGGAGTGAGACACTAAGTCAAACTCAAACATACAAGTATCATTGGACTATTACAAAGAAGTAAATTAAAACATCTGCAATAATTGTGAATCTTGTCTGTCATGAGTAGTTTTCTTGATAGTTAAATATTTATTTACTATTCCAATTTAATTGCAAAATTTACTAATCCATTACAAAAATTGCAAAATATGTTCACTTTTGACTCGAAATTAGCCTAAATAATGAAGTTTCATAGTTTTTAAGGCATTTCTAAAATATAAATTTAGTATGAATAAATATTTATTTCTTGTTTCTATTTTTTATATTTATTTGTTAATTAAATAAAATTAAATTTAGGTTTATGTGCCCTGATTGGACTAAGCATATTTACAGCTCATAAAAGATATGGTGTTAAGTATATATATGGAGGTGGTGAGTTTTTTGCACAATATTGGGAGGAAGTTCAACCTATTGCAGTCATTAATGGTGGAGAATATAAAGTCGAGACATGGTTACGTTGGTCTTACGGAGTGGGATGGGGTGGTGTTGGTTGGACATTTTTTGCTTTACTTTGTGCTATATGCGCTGATTTAATTCCGAAAGCTGATTATTAAAAAAGGAGGTTCTTTATCAACTAAATTGAGTACATATTTTTAAACTATTGATATAGAGGCTGATTCAAAAAAGTTAGTTTTGGATTACATAAACTAATGGTATTGATATTTTATTTCTTTGTGAATATTTTTATTTACTTTGTGCATCAAAAATGTAAGTAGGGTTTTATTTTTTTGGATAGGTTTGTTTTTAAAGTTTATATAACACTTAATTTAATATTTGTGAATTTTTATATATTAATAATGGTTTTATATTTTGGTTATTTAATTGAATGCTTTCGTTTTAAGACATAAAAATGGGTAAAAATTTAGTACTTATACGTCACAGTTGCAATGATTAGTATCACAGTGTATTAATGTTATTTTTTTTTTTGTTGTTTTTTTTTTGTTTTTTTTGTATATATCACGAAAAAAATTTATTTAACTTTATATACATTTGTTAATCAATTTGTACGTTTGATGACGAAGTAAAAATTTTTTTACACTTCCAAAAATAAAGAGAATTTTAAAATTTGTATTATTTACTCTTATATTTGAAATGATTCTTAATTTATCGTATTCTTTTATATATTTGTTAAACATCCACTATTAGTTTAGGTAAGCTGAATCATAATACAGTTTAATTTAGGAAAACGAAATAAAATTGTCTTGGAACTTTTTCTTTAAGAAACCTTGAAGGCTGTACTTTGTTCCTTCGAGTTTCAGCTTTGTTCCTTTAATTTCCTTGACGCCATCTAAAGTGTGAAGTTTTATATGTAAAATAAAAAATCTTATTCTGCAAAATATTAAGTTCTTTTAATTAACTCATGGTTAAATGTGAAATAATGACACGTGAATTTATTTAACATGTTGAAAGATACAATTTAGTAAAATTTTATGTTAAATTTTTTTCCAATAGATTTTCCATAATAAAATGAGCATTACTCGAAATATACTAAGTGATTTATTAAAGGATGCTTACGACAAAGTGTACATACATTACAAGATTTATGAATATGGCAATGAAGTGTGTGGATGCATTCACTAAGGATTTGGTTGAGGCACAGACATTGGTCATAACGTTTTACAAGTTCATAATGAAATATCCCAAGACAAACTTTATGTTCTAATACGATTTACTATTCGCGAACCTTTGTTAATTAATCCTTACCCTAAAATGATGATGTCGATGTTCTGCTCATCTATTATTTGCAATGTAAAATTTGGCATGTCTTCTTGAAAAAAAATTCTGTTCAAGTTTAGCAAATATGTAGGGGAAGTGGAGGCATAACCGCCCCCGTAACGTTTGGAATAATGTTATATGAAACTAAAAACGAAATGTGTTTTTTAGCAGTTTATTTCAATAACCACATCATTAAGCTTTAAATTGATGCATTTAAGAAAAAAATTAAACAGGTTTTGAAAATGTTATTACACAAAAATTACACTTGATGAAAAAAACGGTTTTGCCCCCATTGTGAGGCACAACCGCACCCTCAAAAAAATCGATGGGGCTACAACTTTGATGGTACATTTTTTTTACAATTTTCACAGCTCAGATGATTTGATGATTTTGTTGCATGTTTGCATATTGTGCAGGCATTCTTTGTGTTTACATTTTGACTTCTGCCCCAGAAGAGAGTTCTACCCCAGAAGAGAGTTTTTAGAAAGAATTCAGGTTGATAGATTAATTATTAGATTATGGTATTATCAAAAATGACTTTCACTTCATGAAATAATGCTGATAACACATATTTTTAACACTAAAATTAAATATTGCTTAATTCTCAAAAAGAAGGTCAGGAAAAATATGATGTAAATATAATATTTTTATCAAAATAAAAATTATTATTCACAACTTCTCAGCAACTTAACAGTCACTCTTTTTGACATATGCAAAATGAAGGAAACTGTTATACTAACGCGTGGTATTCTTTTTTCCATATTAGATAACATTTTTTGAAGAGAATTGTTAAAAAACGGTTGTGCCTCCATATGCGGTTATGCCCCCACTTCCCCTAACTATTTTTTTATAAAACAAAATTCAATCGAATTTCTAAAGTCAAATTTCTAACAAAATTTATCGTCAATATTAAAAGTAAGTTTTTTTCTATAATGTATGTGATTATACCCGGGATTAATGAAATTTAGTAGTGACAAAATATTGCTACTGAAAAGGGGTTGGTTCTAATCTAAATAATGCATTGGCCCAGTTACATTTCGCATCTGACATCTAAGTAAATCGCAAGTTGCAGTGTTTTGACGTGTTTGCTGGATTTTAACAACCAATAACCTATTTTGTTCACGGAACTACAAATAGATCTTTTTTCGTGGCAAGAAAATCTGTATACTGGAAAAAGTACCGTAATTTCCTTTCACTATTTTTTATAAAATTGCTGTCACACTATACTATAGGTCTTTTATTTTCACACTTTTCACACTATAGTTCAAAGATGTGATATAAAGTACTGGAAAAATTATTATGGACTTTTAGAATTGCCATTAAATTACTTAAGGCAGCCAAAAAATTTTCAGTGGTCAATGATATATGTTAATCTATGTAAACGATCTCTGTATGGCTTCAAAAAGAATTTCAACTATAATGTTTGCTGACGATAGCAACTTTTTTATCTCAGGAAAATATAAAAGCGAGCTGTGCGTAAAAATGAACAATGAATTAGAAAATTTCAGAGTGGTTTAGGGCAAACAAACTCTCTATTAACTCAAGTAAAACAAAGTTTTCTTTATTTCATCCTTCTTTTAAAAAAAAAGAAGTTCAATTTTTTTTTCCGAAATTGTTTATTGAAAATAGAGAAATAGGTAGGGATACTGTTACGAAATTTTTGGGTGTTTTTATTGACGAAAATCTAAATTGGAATAAACATATCGCTTATATAGGTAGTAAAATATCCAAAAGCATAGGAATAATATACCAGTCACGCTATTTATTAAAAAAAACACTACTCAAACAAATCTACTATAGTTTTGTTCAAAGTTACCTAAACTACGGAAATATAGCTTGAGGTAGTACCTATAAAACGAAACTAGAACCACTTTATCGTAAACAGAAGCATGCTATACGTGTGATTAATTTTAAAATAAAACAGAACACTCAAAACCTCTTTTTGAACAAATGTCTTTATTAACATTGTTTGAACTAAATGTATATAATGTTTTAAGTCTTATGTATATTAGCAAAATGCAAAAAAGTCCTTCTATTTTCTATAGTCTTTATAAACAAAAACCAGAGTACAAATATTTATTGCGTACAAATAGTACCCTGTTAGAGCCTTCATGCAAAAATAAGCTTGAACAATTCAAAATGACTTATCGTGCACCTCATATCTGAAATAAGTTTTTACTAATTAATTTAAATAATATTGATTTAAAAATTTAAATTGCTTTAAAAAAACTATTAAAAAAAGTATTTTAAAGTATAAAAATTTAGTTAGTGATTTTTTTTAAATTTATTTATAAATATTTTCTTTTTTATTTAATATAAATATATTTTCAACATTGCATTAGTAATAAATGTGTAAATATTATTTCAAAAAAAAAAAAAAAAAAAAAAAAAAAAAAAAAAACGATTTTTGTAAAAATATATTTGTATACTTGTTATCTGACATTTTAATATCATCATAATTTAATGATTTTATGTAAAAATGTTATGAATATGTTTTTATATTTACGGCAATGTAAAGTGCTTCTTGATGATAAGACCATTTGGTCTTCTGCAAGTTTTCCGCGTTCTTTTTACAGTGTTAGAGTGAATTTATTATTTTTGTAAAACCACTTTGTAATATTTCGTTTTTATTTATATATTCACTGTTAACGAATCTTTAATATGTGGTTACGAATTTGTAATATTAAGGAACAAAAAATAAACTTAAAATAAAATAAAATAAAAATAATATTCTTTTTTTTTTTAATGATATATATTAATAGGACTATTTTATTGTCAAATAAAACCCATTTAGATCTGGTTTTTTTAATTTTAGTCATTTAAAGGCTAGACAATAAAAGCTGGTGAAATTTACCTGTAAATTTTCAAATATGTTAATTTGAGTTCGCGTTACTTTCTTTTAATTTCTGTGGTGTACAAGTACTTCGCATCTGCTTGGTAGCGATCGACCGGAACTAATGTTTTACCGGAACCGAACCGAAAATTGATTTTTTATTAATCATAACCGGAACTTAAAAGAAACCCAAACAGGTATTGAAACCGGAACCGGAAATCAATATTGTAAATTTTTTTCAAAAAGTTAGTTTTAATTTAAACAAAATATTAAATCAATAAAAATAACCAATAACAGAATCCAACAACTAGAAGATTTTCTCGAAAAAAAAAAAGTTTTTTCAAATTTTCGAGATGGGTTCTGTTTCTTTCAATTGAGAGAATATCTCCAGCTATAGAAAACAGTCTTTTAACGTCTGTAGATGTTGGAGGTGGTGTGAGGTGCTTTTTTTGCCATCTTAGTCTAACTTGATTTTGGAATTTGCATTTTTTTCATAGCTTTTCCAAAACTCAAGGCATTGAGAAGCCATTGGACTATCCAAAAAATTATTCAACGCTTCTTTTATCATTTTGGAGGATGATCGTACATTTGGTCTTATTTGAGTTTGAGATTACGCAATAATTTTTGACATTATATGAACAAACGATGCGTAATTTTTCATTGTCGCCAGATAGAATTTGAGTTGCAGAAGCCAATTCGTCTAGAGGTTCAAGATTGCCTACTTTGGACATGACAACGTGTTTAGCATTTTGCAAAGCACCTTGAGATCCGAAAAAATACCATTTGTATCTTGGATCGAGTAGATTAACAATTGAATAATGTTCTATTTTTTCAACTGCTAAAAAATATTTTTCCATTGCATTTTTCATAGCAATTATTAACTCCTGAACACTTATATTGCTAGAGGTTGTTTCCAAAGCTTTAACTATTGTTGTCACAATTGAAATACAGGAACTGATGCAAGAGTTGACACCTGACAAATTTTTTTTGCTTTCTCAAAAACCCTTAAAATGTTTACCACTTTTTCACAGAGGGTCCAATCTTGGACAGAAAATTCAATTTCCATTGAAGGAAATTTGATTAAAGTGGCAGCAATGCTGGCTTCAGGTGTAAAGTTCGCTCAAGCATATAATAGGTAGAGTTCCATCTTGTAGCAACATTGCTTTTGAAACCAAATCTGACTTTTGTATTTATTTGGATTTTTTGCTGTCTGAAAAGTTCAGTGTAGAAAGCAGTTGAATGGGATGCGTAAGAACAGAGTTTTTGACTCTTTGCAATCAGTCCGTCTATAATTGGATGTGAAAATAGCTCTTTTTTGATGACAAATGAAATGAAACAAATGAACCGTCATCCCCAGGTAGCCATGATGAAATAGTGACCATGCATCAAGACAGACAAATGTATTTTCAACTTCTGATTGAACCAACTTTTTCTTAAGAGCAAATTTTATTTTTTCGTAAGTTATATCCAGTAAACCTTTGTAGCATTTTTCGCTAGCTATTTTGTAATTAGGAGCAACTTGACATGTTAAAATCTACAACTCCAAACGGGTTCAAACTTCTTTAAAAAATGACTCTAATTCTGAAAAAGGCCAAAAATTTCACAAGTCAATATTTGAAATGATGGTTTTTGGCCTCCAACCGTGGTCAATGATGCTGGATTTTTTAGGCACCATTAGTGGGGAACTTCAATGGTTTCTTAAGACACTCAGAATCAAACTTTTCTCTAGGCCTTCTTCTGACTGTTTGGACTCTATCATCCAACACAGCAACTGTTGACTTATCTGAGAATACTAATTATCTTTGATGGTATTGATTTTTTGATTTCTTTCAGTTTCATCTATATACTTACGAATATTAGTAGGTGTTAACTTGTTGATCATGACTGTTTATGTAATGTTTGTACCATAATTTCTTTGAAACTTATCAGGCATTTTTTTTGTCGGGTAGTAAATCAGTCTTATATGATTAAGAATGGCAGCTCCATTCTTCTTGGATTTAGTTTAATAAATAACTTTGCGATTTCTGTTTTGTCTAATGATTCGACCTTATCACGATGCACATGCATTAGTGTATGTGCTCCTAACCGCTCGTCCTTCATGGATGCTCTAATATAATTTGACATTCTGAGAAACGTAGATGAAAATCTCTCGTATTCACAAGACGTTACTGGAAATGTAGAGCCAATGTATGAGAGTGTATGTATATTTGGAAGAGCTTGCTTATCGCATTTCAAAAGAAGCTTGTAAATCTTTTGGTTTTGGGTCTTCTATTTTATCAAAAAGCTTCTTCCAGCGAATAATTTCTTCCTCAAGCAAACCTGGCAGAGGTAGACTAGAGGTAGTTACTTTAGATTTTGACAATATCTTAAAGACTTTTGATTATGTCACATATTGAAGCCTAATATATATTTTTGCACACGACATACAATAATTTTATAGCATGACAAGATTGTTCACTAAACATTAATTGGAAGTTTGATATAATTTAATCCAAATAAGGAATCAGAATGTTACGTTCGAAAACCTCATTTGGAGTATCAGCTGGAGTGTTCTAACAATATGTTTGCCGTTGAACTGCCCAGATGTTACCACATTAACGCCCAAATGATTTGCTGTTCTTACAGCATGTGTGAAGTTAAAATAAGATAGTTGTTCAAGCGAAGCATCACGTTTGTGTTTTAATTCTAGTACAACTTCCTGTACTCCTTTGTAAGCGCCAACCACATCTTGTATTCGGCCTTGAAAAAAAAATAGCTGTGGCCCACAGATATGATGTCAACTGTATAATTGTTAGCAGTGTATAAATGAATTCAAAGGTTTGCAGAAATTTTTTGTAAGATAGAGCATTTCGTCGATCTTCCGGTGTCCACCTTGACCAATCTTTATCTTTACTGGTGTATTTATTCAGATGCAATTTATCGGCAATAACTTTAAACAAAAAACAATGCAGCATAGCGCATCATAAAAATAATGGTAGCCATCAATATTTTCTGTCCATCTTGTAATACAGATATCCAGGAGACTTTTTCTGTGAGCAACTCTAGCTTCTTTTTTTTATTATTTCAACTAGAAGTTGTTCTCTCTTTGGTGAATTGTTAATCCATAATGTTATAGCTTTTAATTTGTCTATATATATATGAAACGTTATATATATGCGGAATATGCTATGGGATATAAGAAGATGTAGGCAGGGACTTTGACAATGTCCATAGAATGCTAAGCTATTTTCTGTCAAAATAGCCTTTGCCAAACCATATCGCATTATTGCTCCATCAGAACCTTGGTCACGAAGTTTTTCAAGCTCAAATCCATGGTCTAAGATTCATTTCTTTGTAAAATGATACAAAGCACAACCTGTAATTCTGTTAGCTGGAATAACATCAAGAACTTCTTCTTGAATAATATTTTTAAAGTCAACAAGTCTAATTGAAATCACCACTTTTTCTTTGTTGTGTAAAGATACTTCATCTATCAGAAGAGTATGAAAATTTGACCTTTTTCATTTCTAAGAGAAGATCAGCTTCAATCATATGATAACCATGAATGTCAATAAGTTCATTTTTTTCCTTGGTTGACACTTGTATTAGTATAGATATTTTTTGCGGATGATTTATACGTTGTTGATTTATTTATTTGTAATGGACCTGACACTCCATACTTTGATACTAAAACTTTTAAAGCTGAACTTCATAACAATATTTACGAGTTTACAGTAATGCACATAAACGATCAGTTAAAAATTTTCCTTATCAAATGCAAATATTTCTATAGCATGATTTGTCTTACAGAAACTTGGTGTTCTGACAAAAATTCTTATATATATTCAAACCTCCTAATCCCTAATTATAATCTTATTTCTTATGAAAGAAAAGCTAACAAAAGAGGAGGTGGAATAATAACCTACATCCATAATGATTTGAACACAAAAATTAGAAATGATATTTCTATTTCTGATTAAAATAGTGAGGTCTTTACAGTTGAAGTCATTAATGATACTACAAAAAATCTCTTAATATCCTCTTGTTATAGACCGCCCAAAGGAGATATTATAACGTTTTCAAATTTTATGAAACAAGTATATATAAAAAGCAATGTTGAACATAAAAAGCTATTCTGTATTGGTGACATGAACATAAATTACCTAAGCTATTATGAACGTGAAAATACTAAAAAATTTTTCGATGATATGATACAACATTACATTTTCCCAATTATAAACAAACCCACCCGGGTAACTCCTACCTCAATTACGTGTAATTAGTAAAACTCCTACCTCAAGTAATTGATAAAACTCCTCAATTACATGTAATTTGACACGTTTTGGTTGCTGTGATAGTGAGAAGTGAATTGGGAAGTGGTCAGATATATCCGTTTTAATTATTCCTATTTTTAAGGATTAAATTTTTCAATATATTGTCAATAGCTGTATACAGCTATTGAAAAATTCAATCCTTAAAAATAGGAATAATTAAAACGGATATATCTGACCACTTCCCAATTTACTTCTCACTATCACAGCAACCAAAACGTGTCATTAACCTGAAATAAAAATCATCAAAAGAAGCATAAATAAATTTTCGACCCAAAAACTAAAAGATTCACTAGCGGTAGTAAATTGGTCAAAAATATATCATGAATGTAACCTCGGACGCACAAACTCCACTTAAAATAAGTTTATAGACATTTTCCTAACTCTCTACAATAAACATTTTCCACAGGTCGAAAAAGAAATTAAAGCAAAATACCTAACCACTCTATGGATTACCAAAGGAATAAGAAAATCGTCAAAACAAAAATTCTATATAAAATATCTAAAAAATAGGAGCGACGTTAATTTGTCTAAGTATAAACAATATAAAAATCTTTTTGAAAGAATTAATTAAAAATTAAAATCCAAAAAACTATATTATTCAAAGCAAATCCAAAAATTTAAAAGAGATTATAAAAAAATCTGTGATATTATGAAAGAAATAATTGGTAAAAATAAAATAAACTCGAACCAACTACCTCTAAAAGTTCTCATAAGTGAAAAAGAGTTTAATAATAAAAAAATTATCTTTGAAAAATTTAACAAATACTTTGCAAGTATAGTTTATAAACTCGCCTCTAAACTTCAACCTACAAATAATTCATTTGAGAATTACATCGAGGACTCTCATTGCTCCCTAGTTTTTAAAAAACTAGAATACGAAGAACTTGAATCAGCAGTTAAAACAATAAAAATTAACAAAGGTCCAGGTATCGATAATATCCCAGCCAATATAATTTTGAATGTTTTCTCAGAAATAAGTAAACCCATTTTTCAAATATTTAACTCTTCAATATTATTAGGAATTGTACCCGACTATTTAAAAATAGCTAAAATTATTCCTTTCTATAAATCTGGAGAAACATCCTTCTTAAATAATTACAGACCAATATCAATCCTTCCCGTATTTTAAAAACTACTCGAACAAATAATCTACAATCTTTTATATAAATACTTAACCACAAATAAAATCCTGAATGAAAACCAATATGGCTTTCAAACTCAGCACTCAACAGATAGGATTAGTCCTACTGATAGATTGGCTATCAATAGGATTAGTGAATCAATCTGTAAAAAGAAGTTCGTATTAGGAATCTTTGTAGACTTATCAAAAGCGTTCAACACAATAAATCACGAAATCCTACTAAAAAAGTTGGAAAAATACGGATTAAAAAACCATACACTGAAGTGATTTAAAAGTTACCTGTATAACAGAAAACAGAGTGTTATTACACATGATAATTACCACACTAAATTATTAAAACTTACTTGCGGTGTTCCCCAAGGTTCGATTCGTGCTCCTCTTTCGTTCCTAATCTATATAAACGACCTTCCAAAAGTTTCTAGCAAACTTAAATTTATAATGTTTGCAGACGATACAAATTTATTTTACTCTTCGACAAACATCAAGGATCTGTATGATAATGTAAACATATAACTCCAAAAATAAAATATATGGTTTAAAACAAATAAGTTATCCTTAAACATAGAAAAACAAGATACACTTTATTTCATTTAAACCAACAAAGAAACACACAACCAAATATTCTACTCTATCTAAAAATAGAAAATATAGTAATTGAGAGAACTTACGAAATTTTTATGAGTTTGATGAAAACTTATCTTGGAAAGCTTTAAACACTAAAATATCAAAAAACATAGAAAAAAACATAAAAAAAAACATAGATCTACTTTATAAAGCTAAACCTATGCTGTCGCAAAGTAACTTAAAACTTAAATATTTCTCTTTTATACATAGCTACCTCATATATGCGAATATAGTTTGGGCGAATACGCATATAACCAAATTGAAAACTTTATATCGACGTCAGATACAATATAAAATCAGATACGATATAAAAATAAATCAATTTACAATCTATAAGACTTATCTATCATAAAGACAAATTTACACACGCTGAACCCTTATTTGAAAAAATGAATGAGCCTAACATTTATCAAATTAATATTTACCAAAATTACTAAAATTTAAATTAGGTCAAGTACCAAACCATTTTTTAAATAACTTTTTTATAAATGACGTTAATAAATATAACATAAGAGAACCAGGAAACTTTATTACACCTTTCAAAAAAACAAAACTTTCCGAGTTCTCAATTTCATATCTGGGTCCTTATTTATATAACAAACTAGTAACTAAAAATAAATCAATTTGCAATCTAGATAATCAAAATTCCTTGAAAACAAAGTTAAAAAATTTGGTACTGAATCTAAACATATACTATGAATTCTTTTAAGACTATAAATTAAATTACATATATATATATATATATATATATATATATATATATATATATATATATATATATATATATATATATATATATATATATATATATATATATATATATCAACTACAAAGTGAACTAACTCGTTTATTTGTATTTTCTAAATGGCTCTTACCTTTTTCAAACAATATATCAAAAAAATTGTTTATTACACACACAAAAAAAAATACTTGATTTTTTTCTTATCAATTTTAGTTATTATGATGCTTGTTATGTTTAATTATTTATCCTGAGCTTAATATGAGTTTATTTTTTATTATGAGTTTATTTTAATTTAAAGACTATAAAAAAAAAGTTGTACTTAACATATAATTATATTTAACATAATCATAATATATAACAATCACATTGTAAAGGACTTCGTGATAAGATCATTAAAATCTTCTTGATGTCCGGCTCGTACTATTTAATTATAAAATTCATTATATGTTTTGACACACGAGACTTGTAAATATTACACCCTTAATTTACGAAATTTGTAAATGTTATATGTACGGCAAAATATAAGAGTAAAAAAAAAGATATCTTTTCGTTAGATCCACGGAATGCCAGACCTTGTTTCATTCTTTCTTGCAATGTTGTATCAAGCTTTATGTGTATTTGTGTATTGGGATTGTTGCACATTCTCTTTGCATCATTCAAATACTCCAACGCATAAGAATGGTATTTATTCGAAACATGTTTGGCAGGATGTTTTGCTAAATTCTTCCAGTCATCAGCTGGAGTCAAAACACATTGCCCTTTATCTTCCTTACTACCAGCTCGCAAAAAACAAAACAAAAAAAACACAGTATAAAGCATTTTTTTCCTTAGCTCATTCCTTTCCTGTACCTTTCCTTTCCTGTACCTCAGGATATTTATCAAGTAGTTTAATGAAGAAACGTCGCTTTTTTTCATTACATGGTAAAAAAAGTGGTGTTGACACAGGTGGGTGATGTTTATCATACAAATTGATTTTTTAAACATTGGGTAACAATGACAGTGTTTTAAGGTCTAACATTCCAATAACATAACAAAGATGTGCACAAGTATCACCTTGTTGTGCTGCATTACCATCATTGCCAGATTGTCGAGCTGTATCACCACCATTTTGCTTTTTGGCATGCTTGAATTTTGAACCTGATTTTTTTCTTTTAGTTGATTGTGACATTTCTAAAAATAAATTTTTTAAATAATTAGCACATAAAATAATATGATTACCATTTTTTGTATTGTATTAAATATTGTTTAAATATTTTGTTTAAATTGGCCTTTTGCTCAGTGATGTTTTGGGTTACAGGTGTAAACAAAAAAAAATAAGACAAGGTGTAAACAAAAGCAAATAAGACAAGGCGGGGGAGGGGGAGGGGGGCGTGCTCTCATGTGCTTCCCTCCCTTCTACGGTCCTGTGTGCGTGTGTGTGTATAGGTGTGTGTGTGTGTGTGTGTGTGTGTGTGTCTGAAGGAAAAAGTTCAATTATAGAGTTCTAGGAAACCTAACTATGTATGCTTTGAGTCAAGGTTTAGAGAACATAGTGATGATTTTTTAGAGAACATAGTGATAATAGTGATTGTTTTTTGTGTTTTAAAGTTCTTGGTACTTTAGTCCTTTTTAAATTTTTTTAAGAATTTGACTCAAAGCATAGATAGAACTCAATGTACTATTTATTAGTCCAAGCAATTGTCTCATTACTATTAATAAACCCTAAGCCGTAACAAAGAGCTCCAAATGTGGCCTCGACAATGCATACCAAAAGTACGAACAGGGGCACCATCAATGCGCAATACGGCACTTTTAGTACTCTGATATTTCACAGCTACTGATGGAATCAGTCTTTTTGAGAGCTGCCACAGAGTTCGGGAAACCTGACTATCAGCCGGCCTCAGAACCATAAAACTGAGTTTTAAAGCTGTACCCTGATTAGAAGATAATAGAATAAGTCATAAAAGCAGAGACACAAGCAAAATCCATGCATTGAGTCAAAAAGATCCAGCATTCAACATTCAAAACTGAAAACAATGTATTATAAACACATCTGGGTCAACCTAATAGATGAAAAAAGGGTGCAACGCTGGTCAACAAATATTTCCATTAATTCTAAGTTTTATAGTATTATCTCTCAGCGTTCAAAAATTATGACCATATAAAGT